TTCTCCATAAAATAAAAAATGTTAATGAGGTACAAATAATATATTTAAACTTAAATAATGTTGCAAGTTGTAACATGCCTGCTTTCCATTTTTCATACTGTTTTGACTAGTTTAACGCTGTAAGAAAAATGAGTAATTAAAACATGAATAGAAGTGTTTCCTCCAGCCTCGGGCTTGGGGTGACTTGAAAGACACCTGCCCATCCCCACTTTCATCCCAGCTGTCCCGGTGGTGGCTGTAAGCATTTCTCCTTTCTGTATATGAAGATCAAACTCCAAAAACAAACCCAAATTGTACAATATGTTATAACGTGCTATGGGGAGGAGCAGCCAAAGACTCAAGTGAGGGCTGCTTCTGAAAACAAGACTTGTAGGACATAACGTGTGGAAGTAAAGCCACGGTCTGAGTTCCTTCCTCTGCACACGGGGAGCGGACAGGAAGCTTCTGCCTCACCTTCCTCACACGGCCTGCAGCCAGGTCCCCCCAGCTCAGACTTGAGGAGAACGAAACTTTGGTCTTCACTGTGGACACACTACCAGGTGCTCCAAAGCCATGGCCTCTCCCTGGGTGGGTCCTGAGGAGAACAAAGCTCTGCTTCTAACCCTAACCCCGCCCCTGGACTTACTCTGACCCTAAACCCTGATCCATACCTTGGTCCCTAATTTTGACCCTTGGACCCTAACTTATATCTTGACCCTGATCATGACCCCACCTCTAATCATCCTTCCAGCCCTGACCCTGACCCAGACCCTAATTCTAATCCTAATGCTATTATTACCTTTACAATCGATCTCTAATCTTACCCTTTCATGCTAAACAGCTGTACCCAAAAACTTCTGGATTATTCAACTTCTTTTCCTTGAATTCTCTGAGGACATCCTAAAGGACATGTCATTATGTATTCTGCAGTCCCTCTGAGTGGTGTGGCTTCAGATAAGAAGTTCTAACACTTGTAAGACAGAAGAAGTGTGAAGGGCAGCAGCACTGGGTGGTCAGGATGCATGCTGGCATTCACGATAGTCATCGGCGAGCCCCCCACATATTTTCAGTTCATTTTTTATGAACGTATTCTGACTGTTCCATCCCACCTACTTACAGTTTTGCACGGCCACATGACCTCTCTCTCTCTCTCTCTCTCTTTTAATGACATTGGAGGTGAGAAGAAGTAACGTGACATTTTCAGGAGAACTCTCCAAGAAACAGAATTCTATCCAGCATGCTTTTTGTCTTTTCTCTAGCAATGGGGATCTTACTGATGGTACCTCCTTCAGCCTCGATTCCTGTGTTAGGATGACACAGCACAGAGCTGCCTTTCACCTGACCCATCATGAAATGCAAATAAATGAGGAAGAAGATTTCTGAGCCACTGAAATGTGGAGGTTGTTTGTCACTGTGGTTTAACCCTCACTCACTGATACGGGGCTGACGGAGCCAGAACTGGGTCTGGACATGCGAAGTGCACTCCTCCGGGCTGAGTAAAATTCAAGTCTTGTTGCAAAGGTAACAGTGAGCACGACGTTATTAGGGTGAGTGTGGGATACATAAGGTATGTCAGGTGAGAACAATGAGAAACTCAACTTTAAAAGACAGTGCTGATTTGGACTGTGGAGAGATTCCAATGTCCTACTTAGCACTTGAGATTGTGATGGCTGAACAAACTCATTAAGAACCCTAAATGAAGGCTTGGGATAAATATCCGAGGGTGAATAATATCCCAATTTTTCATCCTAGAATGGGCAGAGTCCTTCACCCCATTCTAGGGAGACTTCCAAAGGTAAAAAGACCTGCATTTCTCCAACAGCCCACACTGAGAGACTCTCCTGCACTTCTGACCTGTGGCTAACACTCCTCACCTTTCATTCTGTCCTCAGTGTTTTGGGGAAACACCTTTAACTCTGTATGATTTACAGGTTATTAAGTGGCCCTTATAATTCCTTCCAGAGATAGAAAAGACTAATGATGAGGGAGTCTGAGCTCACAGCAGCAAGCAGGCATGTGTGCTCAGCAGCCACGTGGCTCATCTGCTAAGAGATCACTACATACGATGTTCGGCAACATTGCTTTACACAAGGGGACACTCTCCTGACTCACAGGTTTAATTGCTCATCTACTTCCTTTTCTGCCCTCTTGGGCTCCTAAAATGAAAAGAACCCTGGGATGATAAAGTGAGCCAAAGAGGTGCCAACCGTGTCACAGCAAAATAAAGATCCCAAGAACGTCCCTGGCCTGAGATGACAGCCTCGGCTGGGTGAGTCTGAAGGTGCTCACGGTGGACATGGGAGTGTGCGGGTGGTCAAAATGTTCACATTAGAGAACTTCCACACAGATTGCAAGAAAAGAGGGAGGAATGGAGGTGGCAGCACGAGTCCCTACAGTGAAAGCAGATGTTTTGAGATCAGTTATGTCTATTCTGGCAAAAATTAGAGACAGAAACCAAAGTTGAGCCTGAGGCTACAATTAAGTGGGCAAAAAGCCAGAGGCGCATGTGGCGTAGACAGATTGAAACATTCTCCCTTATATTAATGGAAATACAAAAATAATCTAAATGTAAACACTTGGGTCTACAGTGTATGTCAAGGAGATCTCACAAACAGGTTAAAACTGATGGTCTAGAGAATTCATTCTGTTTCAGAGAGAGAAAGAGGAATTTCTCGGGTCCCTTCAGGAATCCGTCTGGCTTTGCCTCATCTTGTATGTTTGAACTATGCATATGGCAGAAGAAAACACGAGGATTTCACAGATTTAAGGTGTGAAAAGCCACTGGGTGCTTTAAGAAGCCTGGGATTCTTCTGCTGGAAAAATAAGTTTGTTGAGACAAAATGAGTTGGAGAAGGTTGTTATTGAAGGGGAAGCAGAATTGTCTTTACCTCACTCCTACCCCTAACCTAACCCTAACCCTAACCCTAACCTAACCCTAACCCTAACCCGAACCCTAACCCGAACCCTAACCCTAACCCTAACCCTAACCTTAACCTTAACCCAACTTTAACCTCTAATCCTAAACCCTAATCCCCTGACCCTAACCCTAACCCTTAACCCTAACCCACTCTCAACCCCAACCCCTACCCCTACCCCAATCCCTAATCCTAACGTCTAGCCCTCACCCTTGACCTCAACCCCCAAACCTCGACACCAACCCTAACCTTAACCCCTAACCCTACCCCCACCCCTACCCCTAACCTCAACTGTTTACCTCCAGCAGAAGCAGGGACCCGTGGCTCCCAGCTGTGCACAGGACTCCGTAGCAGTACCCAAATAGGCCCCTGAACGCCCACGGTGCCAGCCATGCTGTGAAGGCCCGGGGTGTATTCTCACCTCCAGAAACAGGGCCCAGCGCCTGCATCAGGCTGCTCAGGGCTGAAGTGAGGTGGGTCACCCAAGGTCTTCCTACAACCAAGGCTATCTCGTGCCTCCTGTTAGATAGCGAGACGCGAGCCCAGTAGCACCACACTCCCCCTCCTTCCCACGGCAACCTTCCAAGTAAGGGGCCTTCCCCTGACGACACTCCAAGCACAAAGCACTGGACTTTCACGCACTGAGGCTGCATATATTATTCTGTGTAGATGCCCACCTAGGCCACTGGGAAAAAGGGTGGCAGAGGGACCCCCATGTTGCCCTGTGGTATACATGTTCTGCTTTATACAACTAAAGCCATTTATGAGACACTCAAGCTGAAACACTACGGTTTTCAACTTTTTGTCGGCCGAGGATTTACAATGTACACTCCCACACAAGCTAGCCACAGAGCACACTGACTGCTTTCCCTCTTAGGTCGCTCAGGGCCTCTGCATCAGTGCTAGAATTGGAAGATTGGTGAAGAACAACTGGGATGTTGAGGGGGTACTGGATAGTTGCTGGACACCAGCCTCCCCTTACCTAAGCTTACAGACAGCCCAGATCCCAGCTGACCAAATCAGACATTTTAACACACACAGCTCTCAATAGCAGGACTTACAGATGCAAAACTCTAAGGCAAAGAATTGTCTCAACTCCTCGGTGTCTCAAGGAACTAAAACACTGCCCAGCACAGGGGCACCATCAACCCTATCACTGAATAAGCCTCTATATTTTATTCATCTTTGATTGTGGAAGTGATGTGGTAAACACTTTGGACTAAAGGCCTTCAAGATCTCTTCACGGGATCCTATCTGGTGGACCCCCAGATCTGCCAAAACAGAGAAGGCATCTGTAAACACGTGCAGGACGGAGCCCAGACAAAACCGTCTCTCAGCCTGAAAGGGGCCTGGCAGTCACAGGAACAGCCACGTGGGGTCTGGTCTGTATGAGGAGTCAAGTTTTCAGCTTGAGGCACCCACTGCACCCACAAAACCAAGTTCTGCCTAACAGAATAAGCCAGCCTACTCTCCCTCATGAAAGATTCTTCCTGGGGCCTGCAAACTTGGGGGGATAACTCCTCCCTCCTCAGACCCAGTCCCAAGATACAAGACCACTTGTACCACAGTGTGGGTCAGCAAGAGAGCAGAAGCCAGAAGAGGGCAGCCCAGAAGACAAGGACCCCCTGAAGATCAAAACAGAGGCCGTCTAGGTACCACGTAGCAGTATGTCACACTGGAACACTTCCCATTTACAGGAATCTAGAAAACCCTGCCTCGCCCTCACTTGGGGCTGACGCCATTTTAGGCCTCAGCCCACCTGCACCCAGGTGCTCATTAAAACGGCGTGTTGCTCCACACCACCTCGAGGTGTTTGTTGGTGCTCTCAGGGTTTGAACGAATAATAGAGCCTTGCACCTAATATCCCAGTGGTAATCCAAGAGAGGTATCTGTGTGACACCCCTCCTCCTCCAGCCTCCATATCCAAGCGATCACCAAGGATACAAGCCGGCCAGGCAAGGTGGCTCACGCCTGTAAGCCAAATATATTAGGAGGTGGAGGCGTGTGGATCACCTGAGGTCAGGAGTTCAAGACTGGTCTGACCAACATTGGAAAACACTGTGTCTAGTAGAAATCCAAAAATTAGCCAGGCATGGTGGCAGGTACCTGTAATCCCAGCTACTCAGGAGGTTGATGCAGAAGAATCACTTAATCCTGGGAGGCATAGGAAGTAGTGAGCCGCGATCACTCCATTTCACTCCAGCCTGGGTGACAGAGCAAGACTCGGTCTCAAAGAAAAGAAAATAAAAAAGAAGAATTAGTATAGTTTTGTCGCCAGAAAAGGGGTCTTGTCTCAGACTCCAACAACGGTTTTTGGATGTCACGCGAAATGGAATTTATGGCAAGTCGCAGAGTCTAGTGACATGAAGAGAGTTTATTAGCCCCTGCTCAGTTACAGAGCAGGGAGTCCTCAGAAAGCCAGAGGAGGAACGCACCTGTTTTAAACGAAAAAACGATTTTTGAGACAGAGTTTTATTCTTGTCGCAATGACATGATCTTGACTCACTACAACCTCTGCTTCCTGGGTTTAAGGGTTCTCCTGCCTCAACCTCGCAAGTAGCTGGGATTACATGTGTGCGCCACCATGCCTGGCTAATTTTTTTGTATTTCTTTTCCATTTTAATTTACTTTATTTAAAAATTTATTTAATCGTTTTGTTTTATTCAGTCCCCGTAGAGACTGAGAAAACTTGCCAGTGCCGACTATATTTCCAATCGTCATGGCGGGGTATTGGGAAAAGTTTTCAATTAGCAACAACTGCGCCTCAGATAAACCTACGCCTCAGATGACAACAATACTGCCACTGTGTAAAGCTTTTTTCCTTTTTGTATTTTTAGTAGAGACTGGGTTTCACCATGTTGGCCATGTTCGTCTCCAACTCCTGGTCTCAAGTGATCCGCCCTCCTCGGCCTCCCAAAGTGCTGGTATGACACGAGTGAGCCACTGCGCCTGGCCTTAATGTTTGCTTATATAGGTTCTTAACAATAGTGTTGTCTCTTACAAAGCCCTGTGATCAGTTTGTGTCAGGCTATTAGTATCGTTATTTTTCTATGTTACTATTGATTTTAACAATAACTTATGAGTGTTTAAAACTTATTTTTAAATTAAGAATGCTTTTTGCTTAAAGTACTGGTATATTTTTTATAAGTTTTGGGTCTTTAGTTATTAACTTGTTCCTGTAACCAAGAATATTTTATAATCAAAGTTGCTCAACCCCTAAATATTTAATCCAACAAATTTAATATGTGTGTGTGTGTGTGTGTGTGTGTGTGTTGGGGGGGTGGGTGTGTGACAGGGTCTCAGTCTGTCTCCCAGGCTTGAGTGCAGTGGTGTGATCATGGCTGGCTCATTGCAGCCTCGAACTCGTGGGCTCAAGCGATCCTCCTGCCTCAGCCTCCTGGGTAGCTGGGACCACAGGCACACGCCACCACACCAGCTAATTTTTATATGTTTTGTACATATGGGGGTCTCACTATTTTCCCAGGCTGGTCTTGAACTCTTGATCTCAAGTGATCCTCCCGCCTTGGCCTTCCAGAGTGCTGGGATTACACTCGTGAGCCCTGCACCCTGTCCAGATTTAACTTTTTCTAAAGCTTTGATTCAAATTAAAGTCACTGTGGTTAAGATGCCTCTAACGGTTTTCCATTTCAAGTGTGAAGACTATTTTGAGTGAATTTTTCCGTTAAGTTGAAAAATGTGCATCCATGTTTATTTCATGCCTATGGTTTCCAATCAATTGCCCCTTCTTCCTTTTTAGAAAAACCTGGGCTAGTGGGCTCCGTGTCAGTTTGCATTTCCAGAACGATGGTGCTGAACACTGCGCTCTGACTTTAAGCGTTTCAGCGTAATGGCCACCAGAGGGCGCGCGTCCTCCACCATTGCTGTGAGCGCGAGGGCCCTGCAGTGCCCCCGGCCACCAGCAGAGGGCGCGCTGGAGCAAGGCGGCGTAACTGCCTAGCAGCCTAGCTCCTCTAATAAACAGAAGCCCCGCCTGTATATGGGCTTAGAACTGCAGATATTACACGTGAAAGGGTCTCGGTTCATGGAGTAGGCGTGGGGTGGGGGTTTGAAGTTGTTTAAATTAGAACAATGACTTCCGGAAAGATTCCCCCACACCATGCCTGCCATCTATAGGAGGGCGATTAAGGCGGCGCCCGGTCGGCCAGCCTTTACTTCTAGGGAAATGCAGTGTGGAAGTCAAGGGGGAGGTGATCTCAGATGCTTGGGTCTCCTTCCTCACCAGGTCCCATCCTCCCTGCACACGGCCACCCTCCCACGTGGGCAACTTTCCAGTCTCACAGTCGCTCTGAGCAACTGTGGAAAGAGGACAGCTTTGGAGCCTCTCCCTTGTCCAAGTCGCTCTGCTGATAGACCTGCATAACTCGTCTCACTGAACCCTGGACAGCCCTGGGAAGAACACCTCTGCCTCTGTATTTCAGACAGAGACTATAAGGCGGTCGGCACGTTGGCTCTTACCTATAATCTCAGCACTCTGGGAGACTGAGGCAGGTGGATCATGAGGTCAGGAGTTCAAGACCAGCCTGGCCAAGATGGTGAAACCCCGTTTCTACTAAAAATACAAAAATTAGCTGGGCGTGGTGACGGGCACCTATAATCCCAGCTATTTGAAAGGCTGAGTCAGGGAACTGTCTGAACCTGGTGTCAGGCCTCCAGATGCAAGCCTTGACCCTGAAAGTCTGAAATCCTGCTAGCCTTCTGATGGTCTCCCAGCCCCCGCCTGCATTCACCATTGTCCCTGATCGCCCAGCAGAGCTTCCCTGGTCAAGCCTCTCACCCAACCCTGCCATCTTAACTGTTCTCATGATAATGTGAACACCTCACCCATCCTGTCATCTTAACTGCTCTCCTGCCTCACCTGCAGCCACCATTGTAACTGAGCTTATGGTAATGTATACTCCTTGCCTCTACCCCCACCACTGTAACTGATCTTACTCTCTATAACTTTCCACTGCCCACCTCAAACCTATAAAACCAACTCCTATCCCACTGCCCTTTGCTAACGCCCTTTTCAGCCTTAGCTGACCTGCACCCAGGTGAATAAACAGCCCTGTTGCTCACACAAAGCCTGTCTGGGTGGTCTCTTTATTCCAAGCGGGCATTTTTGACACCCGGGAGGTGGAAGTTGCTGTCAGTCGAGATCGAGATCGCGCCACAGCACTCCAGCCTGGGCAACAGAGCGAGATTCCGTCTCAAAAATAAAAATAAAAAACAAAGACTATGAGGCTAGGAGAGGCTGTGACCAAGCACATGACCCTAGCCCTGTTGGCAGTAGCTGAGCTGGAACTGAGTTCTCACGCTCACACGGTGCGCTGTGGGCCTCCTGATGACCAGATCCAACGTGTGACTGGCACTTCCATTAACATGTACCATGGGTATATACCCAAAGGACTATAAATCATCCTACTATAAGGACACATGCACACGAATGTTTATTGCAGCACTTTTTACAATAGCAAAGACCTGGAATCAACCCAAATGCCCATTGATGATAGACTGGATTGAAAAAATTTGGCACATATACACCATGGAATATTATGCAGCAATCAGAAATGATGAGTTTGTGTCGTTTGTAGGAACATGGATGAATCTGGAGAACATCATTCTCAGTAAACTGACACAAGAACAGAAAATGAAACACCGCATATTCTCACTCATAGGCGGGTGATGAAAAATGAGAACACATGGACACAGAGAGGGGAGTACTAAACACTGGGGTCTATTGGGGGGAAAAGGGGAGGGCCAGTGGGAGCGGAAGGTGGGGTGGGATAGCCTGGGGAGAAACGCCAAATGTGGTTGAAGGGGTGAAAGAAAACAGAACACACTGCCATGTGTGTACCTATACAACTGTATTGCATGCTCTGCACATGTACCCCAAAACCTAAAATGCAATAAGAAAAAAAAAAAAACATGTACCTCTATTTGACTGCAATCTATGAATGAGCACTTTCTTGCATCACATGTTGCCAGGAGTCTCACATATTACCTTTGATCATAGTCACAGAATTCCGTGTTGTTCAGTATAAATACTTGTCCTTTCATAGTTGAAAGTTGGGGATGCAAGTGATTTAACATACAGCCAGCAGCTAAAATATTCCAAATGTGGTTTTCACCATGTGCTGGGATTTACTCGGGGCAGCTGGCAAAATATGAGGGGAATATTAGGGAAAGCTAGAAGATTATATAGTCTCTAACTCAAAAATATATAAAATTAGCTATATAAATTTGTAAAAGTCCAGTTTCTTTGTGAGCTAACAGTATAAGACATATTATTTTTCATCAAAACTTGAAATAAGTTGGGAACCTCTGTGGCTCAGCCACTGGCTGGTGCACTGTGGCAAAGCTGCCCTCCAACCTTCTCACTTCTGCGTCCTACTTTCTTCCCACGTACTCCTGCTGAGTTTCTGAGTTTGAGCCTCAACAAGGAACTCAAGGAAGTGACAATTAAAACACTGAAGTACCTTTGCCTGCCTGGTTTGAGAGATTCAAAGGACTGATCAAGTTTCCTGTTGGTGAAAGCTACAGGCACTCTCTTGCTAACCCTAAACGCTGACTGACCCTGACGTCATGCCACTCCTCCTCACAGTCCCTCAGGTATGTCCCGTTTCTGCTAAATTTTTTCCTTCCAACTTCTATCCCTTAATACTCTAAATGTAAAACCAACCTATAGACAATGCCATCCCCATTTTAATGCTAAATTACACTAGGAAATGAAATCACAAGAAGATAAAGGCAAAAATGAATGTCCAGCATAATTATATGATTAATAATGCTCAACAAAATCATCACAATTTGAGACTAAGACATATGTGAAGGATTACAGACCATGATCACTACACCCTTTTCTCGGAAAATCAAGCTGGTTTTGCGTACTAAAGCCATCCGTGCCAATAAACATCAACGAAGCAGGACGAAGAGCCCAGGTGCTCATCTCCACAGACGCACAAAGCCAACACCATTCCATCATATAAACAACGACAAACTAGGGAGAGGGATTTTGTTAACACAGCAATCAGCCTCTATGCCAAACCCATAACTAGAGTCATCTCCATTGTTAGGGCCATATATGACAAAAACACCGCTAACATCACAAACGATCGGGAAAAGTTAAAAAGCTCTTCCTCTAAAATCTGGAACAAGTGTGGCTACTTCTAGCACGTCTATTCATCATAGGACTGGAAGAGCAATTAGACAGGAGAATGCAATAAAAGGCACCCACATTGGAAGAAAAGGAAGTCAAATGGTCTCTGTTTGCAGGTGAAATGGTCACATCCATATAAAAACACTAAACATTCTACAAAAAAAAGCCTACTGGAAACAATACATTTACTAAAGTTGAAAGATACCATATTAATATACAAAAATGAGTAGCACACTTATGTGCCAACAGTGAAACACCTAAGAAAGAAATCAAGAAAACTGCTTCATTACAGTAGCTACTACATCCACCGAAAATGATTCCTAGAGATGAACTTAGCCAAAAGGTGCAGGATCCCACAATGAAAACCATGAAACAGATAAAAGCTATTAAAGCAGACACATGTAAAGGGAAAGATATTTCATGTCTAGGCACTACAAGAATATGTATATATTCTAGAAGAATATATTATATATATAAAGACGGGGTTTCACCATGTTGGTCGGACTGGTCTTGAACTCACAACCTCAGGTGATCTGCCTGCCTTGGTCTCCAAAGTGCTTGGATTACATGCGTGATCACCATGCCCGGCCAGCACTAGAAGAATATTGTTAAAATATCTATATCAGCCAGTGGGATCTATAGAATGACCACAATCCCATTAAATTACAAAAGACATTCTTCATAGAAATAGAAAAAAAGAAGCCTAAAATGTACACAGATATGCAGAATACCTCAGACAAAAGAATCTTGCATAAAAAGAAAAAAGCTGGAAGCATCACACTACCTCATTTCAAAATATACTACAAACCTATAGTAACCAAAACAGCACGGAACTGGCACAAAAAAAGGGCAAGGGAAAGACAGAGATAGATAGAGATAGAAGAATGACAGACAGATGTAGACAAATGAAACAGAATAAAGAACTCAGAAATAAATTCACGCATTTACTGCCTACTCATTTTTAACAAAGGTACCAAGAAGACACCTTTGGGAAGGACAGTCTCTTCAATAAACTGTGCTAGGAAAACACAACACCCACATATACAAGAAAAAATCTAGACCGTTATTTTACCATGTACAAAAATCCACTCAAAATAAAGATTTAAATGTAGGATCTGAAACTATGAATCTACCAGAGAAGTAAAAAATACGATAAATTCTTCATGAAATTGGTTAGGAGAAGAAATTTTCAAATAGACATCAAAAGCACAAGCAGCAAAAGCAAAAATAGACAAACGCAATCACATTAAATGTAAAAGCTTCTGCAAAGCAGAGGAAGCAATCAGCAGCATGAAGAAACCACCCAGAAAATGGAAGAAAGTGTTTGCAAACTATGCATGAGGGGAGGAGTTAATACACAGAACATGTAACTGACTCAAACTACTCAAAAGCAAAAATACAAATAACCTGATTTAAAAAGCAGAAAAAGATTTACCCAAAACCTTCGTTCCCCACCATTATTTCCCCATCTTCTTTTCCTGACTGCCTTTGGCCTGCTACCGCTCACCATCCTTTCTCTTCCTCCATCTGCCCCACAACGTTTTCACCACTTTCCCCACTGTCATTTTGAAAAGCCTTCTCTGTCCTCCCACTCACTACTGTTTTCCCCATTCATCTATCCATAACTTTTCTTCACTGTTTTTCCCACCACCTTTTCTCGCTTTCCCTGGCCACCTTCTTTTCCCTGTCCTGCTCTCATCACACTTTTCTGCTCCTCCATCTACCCAAGAACATCTCCCCCATCTTTTCTCAAAGCCTTCTCCCCACTCCTGCTGCTCACTACCTCTTTTCCCCCTTCATATACCCAAACCTGTTTTCCCCATCGTCTTTCCCCCTCCCTCCTTGCCGTCCTCTTTCCCTTCTCCATCTACCCCAAAACATCTCCCCACCCTCTTTTCACAAACCCTTCTCCTTACTCCTGCTCACCACCCTCTTCCCCATGTACCTCCCCAATTTTTGCCCACTGTCTCTTCCCAAAGCCTTCCCCACTCCTCGCTCACCCTCTTCTTTCCCCATCCTGCCTGCCACCCTTTTGGTCCTCTAGATACCCCAAACTATTTTCCCCATCGTCTTTTTCCCAACCATCCTTCCCCACTCCTTTATCCTTCTCCCGCTTGCCACCCTCTTTCCTTCTCCATCTACTTAAAAACTTTCTCCTCATCTTTTCACAAAACCTTCTCTCCCTCCTGCTCACCACTCTCTTCCGCCTCCCTCTCTGCACCCCTTTTCTCCTCCCAATTGCCACCCTCTTCCCCCCTCCATCTACCCAAAATTATTTTACCCACTGTCTTCTTTCCCTGCCTTTCTTTTCTTCCAATGGTGTTTTTGCAAATCTTCTCTCCCTCCTGCTCACCCTCATTCCCCCCTCACCACCCTCTCTTTCCTCCTCCTACCTGCCAGAGTGAGACCATTTCAAAAAAGGAAAAGAAAAAGGAGAGACTGTTAAACGGGCCTAGATATCTTCTTAAGTCATCTGTTTTCTGTTTTCTACATATCTTGAAAAGCAGTCCCGAATGGTGAGGAACTATCTAGGTTGTAAAAATAAAACATACTCTCTCTTCCCTTGAATATGAAACAACATGTCGGATTAGTGCGTTTTTCTTGGATCACTGTTCAGAAGGAGGATCAGCCCCCAGACAACCGCATTTTTACTGCCATGAATGGCAAGAGAAAATGTACAGTTCAATTTATTCAATGGACAAAAAGGCTCAAATAATGGCACAACTTAGCAGCCAAATTCCTATCAAGTTCAGACTTTGGACATACTGAGCCCTCTCCACCTGCAACCGGGAGCATGCACTTTGATGATGTCATTTGAAATTACACTTCCCGGACACACGCTTCACTGATTCTCCACAGGGCGGTTCCAGCAGACTCTCTAAGTCTTTCTCTGCATCGTGAGGCAGTGCAGCTCTGCCCTGCACCTCCCTGCAGTTTGTCGCCTCTTCCCTATGATTTCAGAGGAACTTCGTCTCAGGCGAAGTTTGTTCCTTGGGCTCTTTCATCTCCCCTAAAACATCACTGACGCCACCTTTAAGTTGCCTCCATCTCCATCTATCTCCCTCTGTCCTGAAAAGAGAGTGCCCTAGTTCATTTCTGCAAGAACCTTTAGAGAGGAAAGTGAAAGCTTTCCTTCCAGCCATACAACAGAATTATAAAGCAGAAAAGTTTAGGCAGAATTTCCTGTTTAAGTGCCAAAACTTCACACTCCATTTTTGATAAAGAGCACAAAGGTGAAAAAAACCTCTTTTTTGACCCAAAGCTCTGTTGACATTCTATTATACACCAACCTATTTAATTTTCAAAATGCAAATGGCAGATATTTTCATAATTCTTATGCTAATAAATAATTTCCCTGATGTTTTTGGTAAAACCCAATATTCATAATAAAGTACAGAACCATGAACTGTTTTAAATAATTTCTTCTTATGTGTGATGACAGGTGTACCTCTACCGGAAGTTAGTATACTCTCACACAAGCTAATTTTTCAGAGGAAAAGGCCAACTGTAGAAACTCCCAGAAACACAATAGTGATAAGCATCCATAGAACACCAAGAAAGTCATGCCCAGGATACAAATAATCAGATGGAAAGCTCATCACCCGGAATAATAATTCTTGAAATAATGAAACGGTCAGTGACATTTGCAATATTTCAGTAAAAAATAATAATCTCTAGAAACCATCACCTCCTCCAAGAGGTAACCACACCCCTCAGATACCACCAGGGGATTCTACTGCTTCAAAAAAGATTGGAAGTCACCAGTCTCATGTTTTTTGCATGGCTGGTAGTGTTTTTAGGCATTTCAAATGTAGAGTGTCTTTTTTTTTTTTTTTTTTTTTTTGATGTAAAGCAGGGATATCCAATTTGTTGGCTTCCCTGGGCAATGTTAAAAGGAAACTTGTCTTAGGCCACACATAAAATACATTAACACTAACAATAGCTGATGATCTAAAAACATCACAAAAAGTCCAGGCGAGGTGGCTCATGCCTGTAATCCCAGCACTTTGGAAGGCTGAGGCTAGCGGAACACCTGAGGTCAGGAGTTCCAGACCAGCCTGGCCACTATGGTGAAACCTCATCTCTACCAAAAATACAAAAATTAGTCAGGTGTGGTGGCAAGAGGCAGACTTTGTCTCAAAAGAAATTTTTTTTCACAAAAAAATCTTTTTTTTTTCTTTTGAGACAATGTCTTGCTCAGTCACCCAGGCTGGAGAGCAGTGGTGCAATCTCGGCTCACTGCAACCTCTGCCATTTGGCTTCAAGCCATTCTCCTGCCTCAGCCTCCCAAGTAGCTGGTATTACAGACACCTGCCACCATGCCTGCCTATTTTGTATATTTTTAGTAGAGACAGTGTTTCACCATGTTGGTCAGGATTGTCTGGAAGTCCTGACCTCAAGTGATCCACCGGCCTCAGCATCCCAATTACAGGTGTGAGCCACCACACCTGGCCTGTCATTTCTTTATATTTGGATAACATAAGGACTTTAAGATCCTTTCTCCTTTGGGTAATCAATGATCTGCACCATACACATTTTACAGAACAAAGGAAAATACAGTCCTCACTCACATCCTGGTCATGTCACTCCCACACTGCAAACCTCCCAGCAGGTGCAGCCCCTTCCTCTCCTTCTGATGGGCTTCTCAGCTCCCATCACACTGACTGGACACAGATTCACAAGAGGCAGCCCCCCAGAGCAGAAGACACGGATGACTCAGAAGTTTCTAAAAAGTCATCAAACCAAATGACACAAAACTCAAACGACATTTCACTTTGTTTTGGTTTATTCTGTTTGAGACACGAGTGCAGTGGGCATCCGACTAATCTTTTTTGGAATCTTTCGTAGAGATGGGGTTTGGCTCTGATGTCCAGGCTAGTCTTAAATTCCTGGAATCAGGTGATCTTCCCATCTTAACCCCCCAAAGTGCTGAAATTACAGGTCTGCACTGTGTAATGTGCTGCATGACACAGCCCAATAACAAGGAAGAAACCCCACGGGTCCAGCGTCTACTCACGTGCGTGGATTGATGGCTGGGAAACCCCAGGAGGAGGAGCCAAAAGAGCAGCCACCAAACTTGTATGTCCTGGTCCTGTCAGGGAGCCCTGAGGTGGCCAGGACAGAGGTGTGAGTGGGTTAGGGCTGGGGGAGGGAGGGATGGGAAGGCATGGGATCTGTGCTGGGGAGGGGGATGGGAGGGAGGGGGACAAGAGGGAAGGGGGGATGTTGGGCACCTGGAAGAGGGGGTCTGGGAAAGGATCCGGTTCAAACTAAGTCTTCAAGGGTGAGTGGGAAGTTCAGCTACAAATAGGGAGAAAGTATCAGGGAAGCCACAGGACATGTGGGCAAGAAAGCAGGAGGCTCAGGAGCAATTAGGCAAAGACCAGGGCTCTGGTTCCCACCACACCTTCTCCTGTCTGGGCACTGCCTAAGCAACCCTGGGGCTTTATACTCCCCCTCCACCAATCCCCAGCCCCAAAACGTGGTACCTCACACACAGTGGACAATCCATGGAACACCCTCGTCTTCCAATGCCCCTCCCCCATCTCAGTTCCCAAGCACCTCCCAAGGCTCTCTGGAACCTTCACAGAACTGACTTCTGGCCTTCCCCACCAGCTCCCTGTCCCTGCTTCTGGGCGGCTCCTTCCTTCCTGAGCTCACAGGGTTTCTCATGGTCAGTCCTGGCTGCAAAGTATAAGAAACAAATGATGGCAGGAAGAACCTCACACACCAGCAGAGTGGGAGCTCCACAGCCTGCTCTCCGCCATTCATATTCTAAGCAACAAAACATCAGAAAGATGCGGAACGTCCCAAGAGTAAACCACCTCCACCACATCCATGGGGCCATCGTCCATCATCCTGTATCTCGGGAACGAATGTTGGAGCTACCCCGGTTTTAAGCATGCATGGCACATTGACAAAAATTAACCCGACTTACTGCGTTCATCAAGCACATCAATATACTTCAGACAAATCCAGTCACACAGCAGTTTTCTGATCACAGAATTGTGCTCGAAGTCAATGATCAAAAGCTAACCAAAAATTACTATATGCTTGGAAATTCAAAGTGCCCTTATATCAACAGAAGAAAGAATCCGAAATGGAACAAGACTGTCTTTACACTCAGTGAGAAGATCATAACATGGCAATCAAATGTCTCCCTCTGGCCCGGGAATTCCACTGTGTGGGACGAGGTTGTGTGGTCTCAAATCACCCCTTACACACCTAGACCTGTTAACATCTGAAACGGGGTGATGGTGTCACTTATCTATATTATCTTACTGCCTGTGAAGGTGGACTTTTAATTCTGAACCCTAATGAGGGGGAGAAAACCAAGTTGACTCTCATGGTTGAACTCCCAGGGACATCCAATGAATCTGTGCATTTCAAGGGATAAAGATCATCAGCCTCTCTCCTGGGAGATTTGGCCAAAATACCCAGAGGCTTTGGCAGATCAGGAGTGATGGGTGGGGAGTGCCAAGCTGGTGGGCAGGACCCAGGGGTCTGGTGACCAGGTCAGACCTCCACTGTCCATTATCTTTCCTGGACCCATCCTCAGCTAAACTTCCCAAAGGCCTGCTTCTGCCTGATCACACAGAGTGCTCGAACATACTCCGGCCTCTCACAGCTGAAAACCACTGCTTTAAATCTCCTTACAATTTACTATGCCGTAAAGTTATTGTACACCACAAATATTCTATTCATGCTACAAATGGAAAGCCAATGCCTTTACCATAAATAGAAATACAACCCTGAGACACAAGGAAAACAGAAACAGAACAGGGACAACACAACTATGGCGTTCAATTCTATTCGTGTGCTGCCACCTGCATAAAGAGCCCCACATTGGGGTTGTCTTGGTTGTAAAAGGAGAGACCACGTAAGTGTGTGTTGAAGTCAGATTAGCCCAAAAGCAAATGGCAGAGAGTACTCTCATGTCCATGGAGGGTTGCTGGGGTCACCTTGATTATCGCCCAGGCAGAGACAGGGCAAGGCAGGAGATGTGAGCAGAGTTTGGGGCCTCCAACTGAGGAGGTGATTCATGCAGCACAGGAAAGTCTCCTCAAAGCCAGGGCCAACCTCCCTTGCAGACAGCTCCCTCATAGAGGCAGAGCAAGGCACCTTAGATTTGAGACCAGCTGTGTGACCCTGGGCTGCTTTCCTTTCACACAATATGAGTGTCAATGGCTGTGTCAAAGACCATCTGAGGATAGGAGGAAGCAACCTGTTGAGCACCTGTGTATCGAATGTCATCACCTCCCAAGGACATCTTTCTTCCAGAGCGGGCACCTTGGAAGGTCCTTGGCCACTCAAGACAGTGATGATGATAACAGCAGTAAATCATCATTTACAGCTGTTGAGGGAGGGCCAGGGGGTGGGGCTCTTAGGTCCTTGATAAGAATGAGGGTCTGGGGACTCCTAGGGACAGCTTAGTGAGTCCTGTAGGTCTCCTGGGTCCCCAGGGGCCAGGTCTGTCTTCAGTGGCATTGGACCTAGGCTGGGATGCTGGGGCAGCCACTGGAGCATCAGCAGGACAAACAGGCACAGAGGCAGTGGGTCCATCAGAGGTGGCAGGTGTCGGATCATCTGTCCACCAAGTAGAGTCACCAAGCCTGGCTGGCCACTGCCCCCACAGATGATGCCCTGTTCCTTGCCTCACACTTTGACAGGGCAGTGGCTGGCACCTGGGGCCTCATGGAGCATCACTCTAAGACCTCTGAGTCCTGGTCATTGAATGGCCACTTGAGTCACCCAGGGCCGCTGGAACAAGGAGCAATAATCAGGCCCCACGAAGTGCACGAAATGCACGCACAACACAGGGGACCTGCTGGTGTGGGAAACAATATTTCACGACCTCCAGCCCTAATCTGAGCACTCTCACCTGTGCAATCTGAAAGAAACAGGGGACTTGCAGGAAAGATAGTGCCTGATTTAACTTAAAGGAACTACAATGCTGAATGCTCACACTCCTGATATCCTTCCAAGCCAACTCTCAATGCTCGCATCTTCACCACTATCATATGGGGTAACTGAGGCAGTCAGAGATTTACTGACTCAATGCCACTCAGCTGATTCTGAGTTCACTGCGGATCACATCTGAACAAACTGCTTTTTCTGAAGTTTACCCTGTTTGATCATGCTGCTGCTGATTCTGTGCAGCTCTGGGACAAACTACCTGGTAGAGGATAAAGCAAATGCACATGACTCAGTCCTGCTATCATTTCCCATCACTTCCCCACTCTCCTCTGCCCCTCCAGTCTCCCACACAGGCTGACACCGTATGGTGGCCTTGATGGAGTCCACCACGGATTTCAGGCTCTCCTCTGAAGGTGGAGGTCATTATGGGATTTGCTTTGACTCAGGCGATGTGAGTGGAAGTGAAGTGTGTCACCTCGAGGCAAAAGAGTTGGTAGCCATTAAGCCTGGCCACCCTTTCCTTCATCTCTTAGAGCCACTGACAGGTCCCATATGGAGGCTGCTTCTTTATTCTGGTGGCAGATGATGGGATGTGGAGCACAAGACCCAGGAGAGCCATGGAGGATGTGCAGCACGAGCAGAGAAAGAGCCTTCAGTGTTTTAAATTTCCATTTTTAGGGGCTGCTCATTACCTACAGTGATACCTGGTCCATCCTAGCAGGCATGCACCATCTACTCCACGCTCTGTGAAGCAGACTGGCCTACTGTCAGAACGTGAACTGGCTGTCAGGCACACGTAGGCTTCAGTTCCAGCTCCGCCTCTTATTAACTGCAACCTCAGGCACTTAACTTTCAGTCTCTGAGCCTCAGTTGCAACTCTGTAAAATGGGTTGGCTATTTTATCTCAGGTAGTGGAGAGAATTAAATGAAATAAAAATGCATGTAGAGCATTGAGCCCAGGGCCTGGCACACACAGTGAGCACTCCGGGTTAGCAACAGTGAGCACTCCGGGTTGGCCACAGTGAGCACTCCGGGTTAGCCACAGTGAGCACTCCGGGTTGGCCACAGTGAGCACTCCGGGTTGGCCACAGTGAGCACTCCGGGTTGGCCACGGTGAGCACTCCGGGTTAGCCACAGTGAGCACTCCGGGTTAGCCCCGTAGCTTCAGAATGTGAACTGATTGTCCATACCCGGACAGTGCAGCAAAGTATTAAGAAAGAAATGTAAACTTATTGACATACGTATCTTTCCATCTTTATTTTTAAACAGATAGGATAAAACTATGGACCAGGCACAGTGGCTCACGCCTGCAATCCCAGCACTTTGGAAGTCCATGTTGGGCAGATCACGAGGTCAGGAGCTCAAGATCAGTTTGGCCAATATGGTGAAATCCTGTCTCTACTAAAAAATACAAAAGTTAGCCAGGCCTTGTGGTGTGCACCTGTAATCCCAACTACTCAGGAGGATGAAGCAGGAGAATCGGTGAACCCAGGGAGGCAAAGGTGGCAGTGAACTGAGATCACACCACTGCGCTTCATCCTGAGTGAGAGTGAGACTGTGTCTCAAAAAAAAAAATAAATAAACTATGTATATACTTTCATACCCAGTGTTTTTCTCTTAAACAGTATATCATTAAAATATTTTTAGCTCAAAAACAAAAGATCATTTTTGAGATTATCATTTTAAATGTCAAGATAATGCTCAATTTAATGAGTAATTTAATTATTACTACTGGACATTTTGTAGATTGCAAAGAGCATTCAAAACAAATGAAGTAGAATAAAAAATATGTAATACATGTTGTAAATATGACTAAGTCTTTTATTCAGAAGTACAGAACATATGTACATAATATAGAATTTATTAATTATGAGTCATCTTAAAAAATAGTTTAGAAACTGCTTTGTTTCCTTTTCAAATTTTGCATGATAATTTGTTTCTGTTTTGACAGTTTCTCACTCTGTGCCCAGGTTGGACTGCAGTGGCACAATCTCAGGTCATTGCTACCTCCGTCTCCTGGATCCACGCAATTCTCCTGTGTCTGCATCCTGACTAGCTGGGACTACAGGCATGCACCACCATGCCTGGCTAATTTTTGTATTGTTAGTAGAGAAGAGGTTTTGCCATGCTGGTCAGGCTTGTTTTGAACTCCTAACTTCAGGTGATCCACCCACCTCTGCCTCCCAACATGCTGGGATTACAGGCAAGAGCCACCACATCCAGCCTAAATGTCGCAGAATAGTTTAGAAGCTGCTGATTTGTTTCCTTTTATATTATATTATTATTTGCAGAATAATAAGTAACCTTCAGGCCAAGCGTAGTGGCTCACTCCTGTAATCCCAGACCTTTGGGATTACGAGGAAGAAGATTGCCTGAGGTCAGGAGTTCAATATATATGCCAATAATTATGTTAATCTTATTAATATTTCTGACTTGAGTGACTCTGCTCTAGAAGTTAGGTTTTTATTTTAAACAAGAACTACTCTACTGTCTCAGCCTATCAACAGCACGTACATTTGCTCGGTTTTTCACTAAAAATTCCACCGTTTGCTGTCTCTTGCAAATTATAGCAAATAAAAGTGGTGTGTTGCTCTTCCCTTCTGCGGCCATCACCTAAGCGGGAACTGCCAAAATGAAGTTCAATCCCTTTGTGACTTCCGACCGAAGCACGAATCGCAAAAGGCGTTTCAATGCACCTTCCCACATTCGCAGGAAGATTATGTCCTCCCCGCTTTCCAAAGAGCGGAGACAGAAGTACAGTGTGCGATGCACGCCCATCCGGAAGGGTGATGAAGTTCAGGTTGTACGAGGACACTATAAAGGTCAGCACATTGGCAGAATAGTCCAGGTTTACAGGAAGAAATGCGGAATCTACACTGAACGGGTGCAGCGGGAAAAGGCTAATGGCATAACCGCCAACGCAGGCGCTCACCCCGGCAAGGTGGGTATCACTAGGCTAAAACTGGACAGAGACCGCAAAAACATCCTTGAACGGAAAGCGAAATCTCGCCAAGTAGGAGAGGAAAAGGGCAAATACACGGAAGAAACAATCGAGATGCAGGAATAAAGTGACCTTACATACAAGCTTTGATTAAAACCGAAAAACAAAAAGTGGCGTGTTTCCATCGTATAAAACACCAAATAATAAAATAATTCACAAAATTACACATTTCTCAAATGAGCTGAAAAGCTTCTCTTAGATGTTTGAACTTCAACATGTAATATAGAAAGGAAGTAAATGAAAACCAGTCCATTCCTTCTCACTCCTCCCGGCTTTCTGATGGGCTGCTCTCTGCCTTGCAAACACCCCTCCCCTTCCTCCCCACACAGCACTGAGTGTGGAATACTGTAATCACTTCATTGTTTCCCTCTGAAACCACGAGCTTCTTGAGGGCAAGGCCTGTATCTCTTATCTCTATAGCCCCCAAAACCTAAAACATAGTAGCAAATACTTCATTTTTTACATAAATTAATGGTCTAAATTATTACCTCTAGAGCAGCGTTTCTTACACTATATTCCAAAGAATATCTGCTTATTGCACTCCAAGAGAGACTCCATGACAATCTGCATTTGAGAAGTATTACAAAACTGTATTTTGTATCCCATAATCAAGAAATCTCCTGAAATTTACCTAATATCCATTGGACAATACTTTTTGTGGCAAATATGAACATTTAAGGAATTAAAAGTTTCAGAGATACAGTTTCCAGAGCTTCCCCATACAGTGGAGGTTTCCTCTGGGTGGTACAAAGTTGCTTGATTCACTTCTATCAATGATGTTTGGGTCCCAGATGCCAATGTCAGGCCCTCCTGCTCCAAATGGGTCACTAAGGAAATGAACTCTGAATTAAGAGTGATTGGCTTCCCATGTACATATTTTCCATATTATTAAATAGTCCATGGGTTTCTTTTAATGCAAGAGAAATGATTTTTATCATAACTGTTATAAAGCTCAGTATATTCTTTGTGAGAGAGAGAGAGAGGTTTAAAAAACTTAAAAATAAGTATTAAAAACCAAAGCTCAGTAAGAAGTTCTATTCTCAATTGTAATGGCAATTACAATTAAAATTAAAATGCTGGGACACTAACACAACTCTACTTTTTAAATCCATTTGTATTGATTTCCATTTAAATGGCTATTCGAAATTATTTTTTATTTTAGGTATTATATAAAGCAAATACAAATATAATGGCTTATCAATAAAAGTTCTCATACTGATCCATATGGGTTATTTCTAGCACAATTAAAGTCGGTAAGTCTTTTATATTTTTAAGGAAGATTGCTGAGGAGAAAGATATAATGTCTGCAATAATCATAAACTAGCCAGCGATACCAGGAATAACCTAAAAACAACTTCCAGGCATTCATGTGGGGAGATGATTATTTTGGTATAAAGGAAAAGAGTTTTAAACTAGATTCTAAAATTCAACTCCATAACTGAGGGATTTATATAATCTATAGACTATACATTAGAAACAAATATGCACTGACTTAAAAGCCTTGAAATCATTACCAAAAATATCCTATAACATAAAAGTTGTAAACTCAAATATGTACAAGGACAAAGGAAGGTTATCTGAGTGCGGAAAGTACTGCTGTGGGCACAGTAGAAACTCAGGGGACACCATATTTGATTTTTTAGAACAAGTCTGAAGTCCAGATTTCTGCATAAGTCTTTTAAATTTTACATGTTGACTCCATTTATAGAGGCAAACAAATCTGTGCACATTTACAATATAGCCCTTTTGTTTTTATATTTGCTATGAATGTGTAACTAAATGGTTGTGTATAATCCAAGTATTTGCATGTAAAATATTTTCTTTCTTTAGTATGTTTTACCAAAAAAACGAGGCCTTCATATATAATAAAAATTGCTATTGACTCATAATACCCACTTCAAGAATGTTTCTAACATGTATTCGTTTGCAATCTATTTGTATATAATTTTCCCAGATTGTTAGCCAAATAGTTTATATGACTGCCAAAACTAACTTATCAAAATGATTTCTATGGAAATTCTTTAATCAAAACAATTCTGATTTACATCAAATTTATATCAACTTCATGGATTTTAGTGTGTAAAGCTGACATCCTGGTTATGCTAAAGATCTAGAAACATAACAGACATACTGAGACAGTTCACAATACAACTTCAACTAAAACAAACCTAATATTGGCTATTATTTTAATTGAGAAAACCCAACTTGTAATGAACATTTGTTGACACATAATCACCTGTATGGTGACAAAGGGACAGGAAATCATTAAAGAGTCAGCCTCTACTTATTGATAGATTACCCATAAGCAAGTTTTCAAAGACTCTCTGAATGGCAGTGAATGATTAATGGTGGGGGTAAAAGGTGTTATTCTGTAAGCTGAGAGATACGGCCAGTAACACTCCCTTTAATTTCCCAGTCGCAGGCACAGAGAAACACAGGTAAGTCAGGCTAATCTCATTGAAAGGAGAACTTGAAGAAAGTAGCACCCATGCCAACTCTTCTAGGGATGTCTTACATTCTTTGAGATACAGAAATGTACATATTGCACTTATCTATTCTGGGTTCTTAAACAGGGGTGTGTCCGAACCTGGAGGTTTTGTTTGTTTTTTGCTGTTATTGTGGTTAGAGATAGGAGTCTCACTATGTGGCTCAAGCTTGAGTCAAACTCAGGCTCAAGCTGGGACTAAAGAACATGCCACTGTGCCCAGCTTCCAGAAAGCTGGGCCTTATTAGATCTATTGTATCAAAAGCTTCAGGGGAAAGCCTAAAATTTTAGAGTTTTAACAAAATTTGCTCAGGTCCCTATAATGCACAATCCCGAGACTTGGTGCTGCAGACAATCACCTCAGTCTCATCCCTTCCCACATGGCTAATTCCCTTTATCAGTGGTAGATGTGGCCAAAAAAGAAGAGTAAGATATAGAGTCATTTATTTAACCTACGTTTAATTTTCATTGGAATGAGTAGATCAGGGACAAATAAACTCAAAATCTAACAATGTTGTTACCAATAAGCTCCTTATTCCCCACCTTTCCATGAAGACATTCTAGATTTGAGAGGAAAGTTTAGACTCAGATCTAAGTGGCTGTTTCTGCCTGGATGGCTAGTAAGTCTGTTAATAATTTGTTTCATCTTCTGCTGAAGTGTTTCTCATTGTGTCACCACATATTCACTGCCAATATGCCTTCCTCAGAGTTCTCCTAAAATTAATCTCTAGGCAAGTTTCAACTCACTCTGTTTTTCAAACCAAAATTCATTAGCCCCAAAGCTAAAGAGCACCTTCTCTCAACACATACACTGGAAGAACAACAAACTAACAAAAACTCTTCTTGGCATTTTCCCTTATTTCCTAATTTCCAAGTGACCTGGGTATCCTGATGGCTCTCCTTTTCCCTCCACATTTTTCCCTCTTAGGCCTTGCCACTGAGAGAGGATACATCAGTTTTTTAGAAAATTGTCAGCAGCAGCAAGATGTCCATTTATTCTAAGTTGCTTTAGTTTTGAGTTTTAAGATAAAGCCTAGGCCGGGCACGGTGGCTCAAGCCTGTAATCCCAGCACTTTGGGAGGCCGAGACGGGTGGATCACGAGGTCGAGAGATCGAGACCATCCCGGTCAACATGGTGAAACCCCGTCTCTACTAAAAATACAAAAAATTAGCTGGGCATGGTGGTGCGTGCCTGTAATCCCAGCTACTCGGGAGGCTGAGGCAGGAGAATTGCCTGAACCCAGGAGGCGGAGGTTGCGGTGAGCCGAGATCACGCCATTGCACTCCAGCCTGGGTAACAAGGGCGAAACTCCATCACAAAAAAAAAAAAAAAAAAAAAAAAAAAGATAAAGCCTATTTTCAGGGCATATTTCCTCTCCTGTGTTATTTCACATTAATTGCGTGGGCGGGGGGGACCCTTGCATTTAAAAAAATTGAAAAGGTTTTTTCTGTAAGAAATTTACAAATATTTCCCAAAGTGCATTTTCAAAAGTTGTGCCCCTTAATACTCCTTTCAAAGTATCGTCATTTAAAACACAATTTTGGACAATTATTTCAAAATAACTTAATTTGCTTGCATTCAGTGAATGCTTGAGCTGACCTATGTCAAGGGTAACAAACATTTTGAAAAGAATTGATCTACACCTTGTCCACTGCTTCCGTATTTGCATCACGAGCGAGCAGTTTTCCTGCCAGTAACTTACTCTCATTATACTCAGCATAATGGAGAGCAGTGATGCCATAGATACCCTTAGGATGCGAGTTGGTGCCATGTTTCAGCAGAATGATGGCACAAGTCTCTTCCTGGCAATGGACAGCCTGTCCATGTTAGATCGAGAAATAGATTGTAAATTCTAAGAATCCAAAATCCACATTCCACAGGTTTCACCAACTAGTTATATTTAAATGAGATACATTTAATTATGTCTCAAACCCATGTCATGCTGAAAAGTTGGCTACTGTATACCTGTATTAAAGGTGTTCTGTTTTGTCACAAATGTCAACCTGGCATTTTCTGTTCACCAGGAGAGTGACCACTTCCACACAGCCACTGGCATAGGCCAAATGCAGAGCAGTAGTGCAAGAGTAAGAGGACCTTTCAGGAACCTGTAGTGCAGTATCTCAAAACATACGGTCATTCACAGAATTGTAAACATTGAACAGAATGATTTTCCTCTACCTTATTTTTCTTGAAGAAAGTGCAATACTTATTAGCTCTTATTCCTCACGACCTTAATGAAAACAGCAGCCTATGTGAATAGAAGGAGCTCAGTCTTTGGATTCAGTTCAACTCGGGTTTCAGTCCCACTTTAAAGTCTGTCATTTACCAGCTGTTACTTAGTTTTTCTGTGTTTCAACTTCCTCATTAATAAAAACAACAATAATAGCTATGTCATCGGACATCATGATGCTTAAAGGAGAAACTACGGAAAGTATTTAAAATAGTTCCTACAGCAACAACACAAAACTGTTGGATTTTTGTTTTTGGGAGAAGGTCTCACTCTTTTGCCCAGGCTGGAGTGCAATGGTGTAATCATGCCTCACTGTAGCATGGAATTCCTGGGCTCAAGTGATCCTCCATCCCCAGCCTCCCAACTAGCTGAGACTACAGATGTGCACTAGCCTGCCCAGCTACTAATTTAAAATTTTATGTCGAATAAAAATCTTAGTTTGTTATTCAGGCTGGACTCAAACTCCTGGCATCAAGCGATCCTCCCACCTCAGCCTCTCAGAGTTGTGGGATTATTTCTATTGCTACTCAACAAAAAAAATTTAATTAAGTAAAATAATACAATTAAACCTACTTTGTAGGCTGACCTAAAGAGTAGGTCACATTTTAACACTGCTGATATTTGAATGCCACTTATAATTCAAGATTTATTACAACTATAATTGGTAGCATTTA